TATTAAAAACTTGAAACGTAAATTATCCTACTAATCTCAATATGCGTTTTTCTTTTGTTGAGTATATATAATGAGTCTTACATACGAAGGCAGTGTTGTTAACTGCTTTATCAGCAGGGACCGGTACGCACTGATCATGTAATCTATCTAGTTCTTTTAACACTTCTTGATTTTTGAACATAGGATAGATTGTTTTCATATTGTCCCCCAATCTTTTAATACGAATTTTAACATGGTTCTGATACATTTACTCCATTGTCAACGTCTTTTGTATCTGGCACCATCGCCTTGTGTAAAATCTGCATAATATTTATGAAATCCCGACGACAATTGTTTTCCCTATATTTTTTAAAATAAGTTATCTAACTAAAGGTCCTTATTTTTATGTTCCCCAAACAGAGTTTGGGAACATATTGTTTTTACTCGGTTTCTTATTATTATTATTTTTTTTCTTATTTGTTCTCCGGTACTTTTTTTGTCCGCGAGTGTTCTCAGAAACTGTTCACCCAACTGAGCTAAAACCTTTTTAGGGTTAATAGGTGTGTAGTGTAGGTGTGCGGAACGAAGGTCATTTTGCGCGCATACGCCTGCACGTGCGTGCGCGTGAAATGAGTGAATTGACTGATATACTTAATGTAGCTATAACTTTTACATTTTTTGATGAAATGCTTTGAAACTCATAACATAAGGCTATATTAATAGTGTTAATAGTATTGCACTGTCAAATTAGCACGCACTCACGCGCATGCACGTGCGCTTTGCTCTGATTGGCTGAAACAAAAATCTCAATATCTCTTTTGTTTTCCGACGAAATACTTTGAAATTTTTAACATTGTCATGAATTAGGATATCCTACAATATAATATGGAAAAAATTTCATGAAATCACGCGCATGCACGTGCGCTGCAATCTGATTGGCTGAAACTTTAAATAGCTACATCTCCTTTGGTTTTTGACGAAATGCTTTGAAATTTAGAATATAGTCATGCATTATGATATCCTGCAATATGATATACAAAAAATTTCAAGAACTCACGCGCATGCACGTGTGCTGCAATCTGATTGGCTGAAACTTTAAATGGCTATATCTCCTTTGGTTTTTGACGAAATGCTTTGAAATTTAAAACATAGTCATGCATTACGATATCCTGCAATATGATATACAAAAAATTTCAAGAACTCACGCGCATGCACGTGTGCTGCAATCTGATTGGCTGAAACTTTAAATGGCTATATCTCCTTTGATTTTTGACGGAATGCTTTGAAATTTAAAACATAGTCATGCATTAGGATATTCTACAATATGATTTAGAAAAAAATTCTTGAAATCACGTGGATGCACATGTGCTGCAATCTGATTGGCTAAAACTTGAAATGGCTATAATTCCCTTGGTTTTCAACCAAACAGGTTGGGATTTAGAACATAGATAGATATGAGGGCCTCCTACAAGAAAGTATGGTCATCATGCACGTGCACGCACGTGCGTGCATTTGGAACGAGTGAAATTCAAAATACACTTGAATGGGTGATTTTTAATACTTTTGGACTAAATGCTTTAATATAAAGTATATATAAATATATAGAAAGTGTAGACAAGATCATATGATCATTATGCACGTGCAATCACATGGGCACGCGTGCAATGTTAAAATTTTAATATAATTGGTATCCTTTTTGGAAAACGTTGTTAAAGTCAAAAATGCACATATGTCTTATTTAATAAGGCTTACAGGGAATATGGCACCAAAAGGGAGTTGGGGAGCGTTTGGGGAACATCTGTAACGGTTCCCGTTACAATTAGCACTAGTTAACTTTATATTTACGTCATCTGTAAAAAATCATATTTCAGATACTCCATACCCTGACCATGTCTAATTTTTCTGTAAAGGAATCTTCTTGTCTGTCTGTGTGTACAAACGTGCACTGTCCATATTGTTCTAGCTGAGGAACATTAGAATCTTCAAAATCACATAAAGATTGTTAAGGATGTGAGGATGTTAAGGATGAATTCTTCTGATCATTTTACCCCAAGTGAGTCTTCGTACTTAGACATGTCGTAAAATTGAAACTGATAACAATTTACAAACAAGTCTTTAAAGTTTTTATGATTTACATGTTTAACTATATTTATTTTTAAATTAAAAAAATCGTTATATGTTGTATTGATGACCAATACGTGTGCAAAATTACAATATCTACGACATAGACCTAGAAGTTAAATCGACATGATCGAGAGAGGAAGAAGACGGGATCGCCCCTCTAAAGCGACAGGAATGACAAATGACACTCCGTTAAAGTTATTCTTGTTAAAAAAGTTGACAGAAATTTGAAAACATTTTAAAAATCGCCGATATCACAATCAGGCTATGTACAGCGCTATGACAAAAGTATTCGCGATTTTTACGCAATGGCGTCTTTCTTGCTCTGCACCTCGCTCGGGGAATGGGCAATAACTCTAATTAGATGCCGTGTTGACATACGGAATTTTTACAGAGTTGTCTTTACATCGGAAGTGACATTATATGTAAGTATTTTTCTCGTCTGCTTTTTTGGATTTTATGTAAACACACAGATATAAAGATGGGTAGGAAATCTACAGAAATATCTAATGATGTCAAAAGATTAATTTTGGAAATGAAAAAGGAGGGGCAAAAACATTAGTTATTGTGAATTTATTACAAATACCTGAGTTAACCATCAGATCTATTTGGAAAAAATATTTGTCAACTGGTGAAGTCAAAACATTGATAAGAAAAGGACGCCCTCGGAAGAAGCTGTCAAACGAGATAAGAACTGGATTATTAGACATACTAAAACTAACAGAGGACAGGTTTTAAAGGATATTACTAATGAATTTAATGAAAACATCGATGCTAAAGACTTTGTTAATCCACGGACAGTCCAAAGAACTTTACGTGATCATGATTATAAGCGAAGAGTTGTTAGGAAAAAAAATGGTCGTTTCCGAGATCAACAGATTAAGGCGTGTTGCATGGTGTTTAGAGAAAAGAAAACTCACAGTGTATAATAATTGGAACACAATTATATTTTCTGATGAAAGTCAGATAGTTTTAGGAGAGAATCATAGAGTGTATGTGTGGAGAACATCTAAAGAATCGTACTTGCCGCAGTGCATGTGCCCCCCCCCCCCCCCCCTCGGCAGAGAAGGATTTCAGTAATGGTGTGGGATGCATCACTTACCACCGGGTTGGTACACTTTGCATGGTCAATGAAAATATTAATGCTTTGGCCCGTCATTGCCCGACATTTCCTCAACAAACCTATCGTTTTCTAGACGACAACGCCCCCGTCCATAGAGCTCTTATTACTGTAGATTACAAACAACAAATAATATTCCTACAATTGTATGGCCAGCTCAATCACCGGACATTAATATCATAGAGAATTTATGGCTAAAAATCAAGAAAACTCTGCAAATCGAGCTCCAAACATAAATACTCCGGAAGAATTCTTCGATGCTATTTTTCACATCTGGACTTCCTTCGACGAAAACTATATCAAATCCTTGTATGAATCTATTCCCTGCAGACTATTAGCAGTAATCAAGTGTAAGGGCCACCTTACCAAGTATTAATAAAGGTAAGTCTGTTATTTGTTTCACAATTTATTGTTTATTTTTACGAAGCGCATCGTGTTTACGTCCGCCATTTTGAAAAATCGCGAATACTTTTGTCATAGCGCTGTACATTCTCGAAAGCGGCGCCCCAAACATGCCAACCTAGAGCGCCGAAGTGTGTTGATGACGTTCCAGTAGCAGTGGAAAAGCGAAACTGTAGGTTCCTCATGCTTTCAAACTTATTGAAAATAACAATGTTTATGTATTATAGACACAAAATTTTTAAATTACCTAGTATATGTTGCACTTAGTGGGTTACTAATGCAATGTGCATGTAAAATTCCCAGGCACGTTGGCAAGAACTACAGCCATGAACGATAACCAAAACTACCATTTATTACTAGACAAAACGAATACATACATAAATGTATAAATGCGATTCGTAAAAGCAGAACGAATAAACATAACATGTTACATCTTTTCTCCTTTGTAAAGTTTCTTTCATTGTCCAATTAGTCAAGATCAAATTTCAAAATGATTGTGTTCAAAGAAATCATCAATGTAGCTTTGCATTGACTTGTAAATGCAAGATGTATGAATTATGATTTTCAACTTCAGATACAGACATAATACAGTACAGATGATAATAATTTGAGCTCTTGCTCAAAATTGGTAAGCCAGGGATTATTATGCCCTATTCACAACTTACCAAACATAATTTCATAAACACAAATAATGCACTGACAATGTTACTTTACATAGTCATTGAATCGGATGGGCACTTTCATATCGCGTCCTGATCTGGTGAATGTCTGCGGTGCCTTTAATGAATCCTGCTCTTTGGCGGACTCGATCATCTGTTTTGAGTCAGACATTTGAATTGGCTTCTCTTGTTCGACACGTGTCTCTCGGTAATCCTCAAGGGCTATATCATCACTTTCCGACTGTTCCTGATGTTTGCTGGGTCTTAGATGTCGTCTATTCCTGCGGTAGTGTTGACCATCAGACTGGACCTCATTAGAGCGATTTGGTAAAACTCTGGTCACTACCCCTTTCCTCCATTTTTTTGACTGTCCGATTCCATCAGGTGGTGCAATGCGCACAAGGTCTTAAATCTTCAATGGTTTCAGATCCTTTGATCCACGATTGTAGTAATGTGCTTGTCGTTCTTTCAGTCTCACAAGCGTCCTTCCCTGCTCCTTCAGATCTGGAACTTCCGGCTCTACTAATGACTGTTTAGTAGGCAATAATGTTTTCGTTCTCAATGTAAAAATGTCACAAGCAATCTTTCTCCAAGGTTTATCTGGAACTTCATGTGACTTAAATGTCTCTTTGCACTGTTTGTCATCTAATGATCTGCATATGTCACATCGGCTGATGAAATCTTTGGTCTCAGCATTCATGCCTGGCCAGAATAAGTTCTCATGTGCACGACATAGACTTCCTTCCACTCCTATGAGACTTGTGAATCTTGCATAACATGTCCTGCCTCATTCTGATGGGTATCACAATTCTGTCTCCGCAGAAGATAACTCCATCCTGTATGACTAGCTCATCTCGAAAATTAAAATATGGCCGCACTGTGTCCTTGACATCAGATACCATCTCGGGCCATCCGGTAAGTATTACATGAATGAGTTCCTGTAATGTGTTATCTCGTCGAGTTTCGTCCCTAATTTCTTGAAGACTATCTCCTACCGTCCGCTGTATATGTGTGAAATGAACTATTTCATCTAGGAGTGCACCTGTACGATCACTGTTCTGTAAGTATGCTCTACTAAGCGTATCGGCTAAGTGCATTTCCTCACCGGGATGATACTCTAGCTTTGTTGAGTATTTCTGCAGTCGAAGCAGCATCCTCTGTAAGTGTTTCGGTGCTGTATGAAGTGGCTCTAAGGGTTTGTGATCACTTTGGACTGTAACGTTTCGTCCATATGTATACTGATGAAATTTCTCTAATCCAAACACAACAGCGAGAAGTTCCTTTTCTATTTCGGCATATCTCGTCTATGTGTCTGTAAGGGCTCTGCTGGGGTACGCTATCGGTTTCCTAAGTTGTAGCAGAGCTGCGCCCAATCCTGTCTCCGAAGAATCACATTGTAAGATAAGTTCCTTATTTGAATCGTAGTAGCTAAGAATTTGTTCTGACGTCACCAATCTTTTGACTTTCTGTACTGCTATGTCATGAATCTGAGCCAGCTCCACAATGTGTCTTTCACTTTAAGCTTTCGTAGCGGCTCACAAATGTCACTCAAACTTAGAAACTTGCTTAGGTAGTTAACGAATCCCAGGAAGCGTCTCACACCTGCGACATCTGTTGGATTCAGCATTTCGTTCACCGCTTTGACTTTTCAGGGTCGGGCTTCAAACCGTCCTTTGTTATGAGATGTCCTACAAATCTCCGTCTCACGAAGTCCTAGTTTGTCCTTGTTGAGCACAAGTCCTCGTTCACGACATCTCTTCATGAGTGCTTTCAGTTGCTGGTCAATGTCTACAATGGCATCCTCTTCTGTGTCACCTTCACCATAAAACCAATATGTCGTCAGCAATACTCAAGACACCTGGTAGTCCTTCTACCGCCTGATCTTGACGACGTTGATAATCTTCCGGTGCAGTCGAGATACCATAGGGCATCCTGAACCATCTGAATCGTCCAAATGGGGTGTTGAATGTAGTAAGCATAGAGCTTTCCTTATCTAATTCAGCATGCCAAAATCCGTTACGTGCATCCAGAACACTAAATACTTTTGCACGAGAAAGGTTTGGAAGTATTTCCTCTATCGTAGGAAGTGGATAATGGCTCCTCTTAAGTGCTTTGTTCAAGTCCTTCGGATCTATGCAGATTCTGACTTTGTTTGCTTTCACGACCATCAAACAGCTGGAGACCCATGCTATTGGTTCACTTACTGGTGTAATAATGTTCATTTCCTAAGTTTGTCAAGTTCTGCTTTTAACAATGGTTTCAGTGCGATAGGCACTTTCCTTGGTGGATGAACTACAGGCTGTATGTTTTCATTTAGAACTAAGTGATATTTTCCTGCGAGACGACCTACTCCTTCAAAGACATCTGGAAACTCTGCGAAGAGCTGCTTCTTGCTGAGAGGTGATGATAACAGCCTTCTCACACTTAGAATGTTCTCCTTTCTCCAGTTTAAGAGCTCCATGTGCTGTAAAGTTTTATTTCCTAAGAGTGACATGCAGTCCTCCTTGATCACAATAAATTCAGTGTCATATGAGGTACCATTATTTGGATTGGTAACTTGAAAGTGTACTTTTCCTAGCGGCCTTATGGTAGATTTGTTGTACATCTTCAAGGTGTAATTTGTAGGCTGAAGTGGCATGATTGGAATCACACTACATGTATGTGGTAAAATGTTACATGTGGCCCCACTGTCTAGTTTAAATGTCACTTTCTTTCCATGAATTATCATAGACGAATGTACACTGTTGGAAACTGAGTGTGCAGAATGTGTGCTTTCTTCTTGAATGGTCCAGTTTAAACTAAATAGTCATCATCACTGTCGGTGTCTGAACAACCTGTCCCAATGTGATGCATAGTTTTCTTCTTGTACTTTGGTTGTGATTTCTTGGTAGCACTTCTGCATACTGTTTCGAAGTGATTCATTTTATGGCACAGTCGACACGTCTTTCCATATGCCGCACATTTTTCTTTCTTGGGCTCATGTACTTTGGCACAATATTTACAAAATTTGTTGTTATCTGTGTGTGAATGTTTACTTCCAGTTGTATTTGTACTAGGTTTACCTCTGCCGATTTCGTTGACATTTTCTGCATGGCTGCTTAACGAATTGTTGTTGCCGTCCAATACAATAATTCCTTGTTTTGTGATTTCTGCTGCACGCGTTATGTCGACACACTTATCCAGGGTAAGTTCTGGTGTTCTTAATAAACATTCTCTCAGGTGTGAGTCAAGTATACCGCAAACTATTCTGTCTCTCACTAGTGAATCAACTATTTCTCTATAGTTACACTTTGCAGCTAATGTTTTAAGATCAGTAATAAAAGTTTCTATTGTCTCATCTTGTTTCTGTTTCCTCATATTGAACCTGAATCTCTCTACTGTTTCGTTTCTTTTGGGTCTACAGTAAGCGTCAAAAGCTTCGATGACGTCTTTCAATTTTCTGTACTTTTCTTCTTTTTCAAACTTCAGAGTACTGTAAATTTCTCTGCCATCAGCGCCGATCAAATATTTCAGTAATTGTAACTTAGCTTTGTCTTCTCCATCCTTCATCGATAGAGATGAATAGAGTTCAAATTCTTCTCTCCATTTTCTCCAGTCTTCACTAATATTCTTAGTGTTGAACTTTATTTTACCAGGGGGTGTCAATCGTTCGAGCGCCATTTCCCGACCCGGCTGTCGTAATCACGATGCAGCGCGCCAAATCGAACAAATCGAAATATGCACTATATATACTCAAGATATGGCGAGAAAAACAGTACTGCTCAATCCTGTAATCCTCTTCTATAATCCCGCATCTGACACCATGTTTAACTTAGTGGGTTACTAATGCAATGTGCATATAAAATCCCCAGGCACGTTGGCAAGAACTACAGCCATGAACGATAACCAAAACTACCATTTATTACTAGACAAAACGAATAAATACATTAATGTATAAACGCTATTCGTAATAGCAAAACGAATAAACATAACATGTTACAGTATACTGTCATATCACAAACTGGAATATTGCATAAACATGTCACATATATGTACGGAACGTTTTCAGATTTGTGCAGACGACAGCATTTGCATTATCCTTTTTAAGCGGTTAGCTTCGCTAGCCGCTATATGGCATGTGTCGGCAACCGGAAACCTCCATAAGGCGCTACCTATCGGCATCGCTTTATCGCTTGTAACCTTATCCTTCTGCAACCAAAACCGGAAACTTCCACAAGGACCTACCTATCGACAACGGTAACTTCAGCAAATGATTTGTATACTGTCGGCGTAATACGCCCCCTGGTTAGAGATTGACAATATGCTGTGAAGTCTGACTAAAGCCAGCCCCTACTACATGTATATCACTTCGTACTAACGAAGTATATGCTGTGTATGAAGAGTGGCTATTATAACGATTATATCGAATTCTTATTAGTATATTTACCAAAGCATTGACAATACTTACAACACTTACTTTTAAGAACAGAATTTGGTCCTTATTACATGTGTATCGCGCGATCGCGATTTCTGGCAACTGTTAGTTTATTTTTGAAAGTTTATTATACAGCAGGTTGGAGGTTATTACAGACTGCAAAAACATCAGCAAATCTCTCGATCGAGTTTGATTTTCCTTGCCAAAGTATTAAGAAACACCATTTATTAAGTTAATACCTGAAAAGCGCTTTTATAAAAACACCGAACGCATCTGTAAGTTTTACACTTTTTGTAACGTTTTATGGAAACAAGGGTTACCTCTACTATGAAACGTTTGTTTTTCTTTTCTTTTCTTCTCTGTCTAATAAACAGATTATAAAAGCTCTGCTCCCAGGGATAAATTCTCTACTCCGTCTTTGATAATTTATAACAATCGATCATAAGGGATTACTTACTATTAGTTTTGTAAAAAATAATGGAGCACTTAAAGTAGTAAAATCAATTTTGAAAAAAAAATGGAGAAATATATATTAATTTTAATCAGCATTGTGATCCTCATCTAAAAATCAACCGATATTATTTTCAGAGAAGAATGAGGTATGAAAAATTTTGGCAATTAGCAAAAATTTAAAATATATACTTAATTCTTATTTATAAGTTTTGAAAATTTGATCAATTCCTAGGGAACGTATTATTAGCTGTGAAAATACTTTTAAAATTTGAATTTGTCCAATTTGTCGATTATTGTTTTAAACGTTTGAGAAGAATAAAATAAAAATACAGGTGTTTAGAGGCACATTGATAGAAAAAAAATCAGTGTATATTGTTTAACCGACATATTGAAGAAAGTGACACTGATAACTTCTTAAGTTAAACTGATTTTTAATGTACATTTGAATTTTTAAATACTAGTATTGATTGATTACATAACTTTCTTTTTCATGTTTTATTTGAGAACAATATTGCATGAAGAGTATATGATAAAAACACCTTATATGTCCTTATCTAGATATTGTGCCTTATATTGTGCAAGACTTCTTTCAAAAGATTCTCATATACCATTTACTTTATTCGAACATTTACTTGTTTGAAAGGTCAATAAAATATATTTCATAAAGCTTGATAATCTTGTTTACTCGCCAGTCTTCCCGTAGAAGTAGAAGTTTATAATATTACTAAAGGAAGTATTGAGTATCTGTATCAAAATACAGAATGATCGATTTTAGAAGAAAAGCTGACTCCTGAAAGTTCAAGAGGTGGGATCCGTTGCCTAGAAAAAGTAAGCATCCCTCGTTGACAGGTTAATTATATTGCCGCGATGAGCCTACACAACTGAATCTCTCTGATATCAATTCATTTACAAAGTCTCTCCTCAGCCATCCTTTTTTCTCTGACTAGCCAGCTGTAGATCTACACTACTCAAAATCCATTAATCTAAAGAATTTAACTTGTCATTTTTTTAGTTGTTTGTTATAGTAGGCTTTACAATTACCTAATTTCAGATTCAATAGAGAATAAAAGACAATGAAATTTTCAACATCAACATAATTTTTTTTATCCAGAGAACAATTGGATGCCATCAAGAGAGAATTTTTAAAAATGCACTTCCTGTCTTTCAAACTGAAGATATCTCATGTTTAAATTTTGAAACATGCATTTCAATCTTATTAAAATTTATTTAAATGTTCCAAATCCGCTCCCGCTTCTGAAACATCTAACATCCCATTCGGGGTCACATCAGAGCGACCTTTCAATTATGAATACATGTACAAGTAAACACAAACACTTTGGCCATGTAGATTCAAGCCTCGGTAAACAGTTCTCAAATTAATTCCACGGCTACATATCATCATTATTGATACTGTCTTACGTTGAATTAAAGTAATTTTGGAATAAATTTCATGTATCTTCTGCAGTCTGGCATCTAAACGTGAATAATGCAAACGAAAGAGCACAGACTATACAAGATACCCCACACGTCATACATAACACAACTTTTGCAATGCATATCTTTTTACTACAAAACTCCTCGGGTGTTTTGGTTGGGTGGTGAAAACAAGAAACCCATCTGAACTATTAGCCAGGATTTCGGAGGAACCATTTTCTTTGCCTAATCGAAGATTCACTCTTACATGACCCCAAATAGGATGTTGTTAGATGTTTGAGAAGCAGTAGCGGATTCGGAACATCTAATTTTAATTAGATTGCATCCATCTGTGACATCAGTTTGGAATGTTATTGGTTTTACTATTGAGTAAAGTATTACAAAAACGGAATGTCTGGGTTTTTCTTCTCTGATGACATTGGACAAAGATATGCGTATTTAAATATCATCATTTTATGCACTTTTTCGGTACATATTAGATGAAAGCATGCTAACCGCTTTTCAGTACTTTCAGTACTTTGATTATTACAACTTTAGCTCGTACTAGTCGTAGTATATGATAAATTTCATTTGATATTGTAAATGCAGAATATCTATATCCCAAATTTATAGACATACCGTACGAAAAATAACAAGATAACATCTCTAATTTTTTAGCTGTTGACATTCGATAAGAAACTAGGTCGCTTCCTTCTATGGCGGCCTATTCGTGTTGAAAAATAGAATATTTCTGAAACATCATAGGAATTATTTGATTCTAAACTATAGGCTAGGGTTTATAAAAACAAAGTAAGATAGACAAAATAATGAATTTACATTTTTTGAACAATGAAATTACAAGTAATTACATGTGTGTATTTTCTTCTAAAATAATTTTTTTCAGGTAAGTCTTGTTGTCACAAGAATCACAAATGAAAAACT